GAGAAGGAAGTTGGTGGAGAAGAGAAGGCCTGTGAGACTGGAGTGGACGGAGCTTATTAGCATTGCTGTCATGGAGCTCACAACCTTAATATTTCATCCCAAAATCCCACTCAGAGTCCCAACACTCACTTCACAAAACCTTACATGAGGGCCAGGTCATCCTTCCAACTTTAGTCCCATGGTGATCTTAAAGCAAATGTCTTAATTATTTTTCAGCTCACTCTTCTGTACTTTTTATTCCTTTTAAGTGGAGAGTTGTGAAGATACTTAGTGCAGTTAATCAAACATTTTTTGTTTCTCTGCTCTTCATTCCAGTAGGTGTATAGACAATATGTCTGCCATCTGTTTCTGTTCTGGGCACTGATCCATCAAAAAAGTCAATCTTTGGAAGAAAAGGGAACAAACATTCTAGTTCTGCTTCATACTGTGTAGCTGCAGCAGGGCAACATTATCAATAACCAACACAAACCTGCTTTACTTTAAAAACAGGAAGAATGTTTCGAACATAATGGGAAACAAAAAAGTTCCTGCAAAGAACTGCAAGATTTATTTTTGTCTGAATATTCTTTGGAATGTGTTGCTTTCAAGCATACATCATCAGAAAACATGGTTGTCGAATTATGAAAAAGCATATTAGACCAACTATTTACTATTTCCATATGTCATATGGATCCAAAGAATTAAAGCAACTTGCTTATTGCTTTCATATTGTAATATTCAAGCAAAGTACCAATACATTTTTTGTTTGTTTTACATTCCTCAGCATTAGGACTTACCTTAAACACACCTGACTTCAGCTGATTATCGGTCTTTCAAATAGAATATACCTCAATTCTGGTCTACCACCTTAAGACATTATTTTTCATTTATCCATCAAATCATCTTTTCTTCTTCCAACTACTCCAAATTCAGCCACATTGTACTGTATTCAAATTTCAAATAACTCTCAAGGAAAAAGCTGAAATATTTTGAAAACTTCATAATTCAAAAGACTGAGTAGGGGGGTACTAATGCTATCCTGTAATGGTTGATTCCAAGGTATATGAATAGGAGATCAATGTAAAAGTACTAATCTAAATTAGTCTGAGATTCTCAATACAACTCCAACAAAGTAAAATGCATAAAATGTGCCTTCAATTCAGTACTGGTTCAGCAATATTATCCATGACATAGAACGTAGTATTAGCAAATTAAAATGTCATATTACGTAGTTGGAATATTATTGAGTTTCATGGAGGACATTACTAGTTCAGCAATATTATCCGCGGCATAGAAAGTAGTATTAGCAAATTAAAATGTCATATTATGTAGTTGGAATATTATTGAGTTTCATGGAGGACATGGGCCGGGGTGGTGGAGGGGTCATTATTTTTATACTGAAGTAGTTCTGCCTTTTATTGGCCTTATGGCCTGGATGTGGTTTATCTTTTCAATCAACCAGGTTAGAAGCATAAATTCCACAGAATAATCATTCCTTATCATTTTTTTTTCTGCTCAAACCATGAATAGAATCATTTGTGGAAATTTAGAAGTGATAAGTTCTATTTTCTAAGATCATTTTCAGGTCTTGGCCTTTGAACCTCTTATTTACACTATCCCCACTGATTGCTTTGTAATTATCTAGACTAACTCAAATTTACAGGCCCATAAAGGTTAGGGTAATCTCATGCTCATATTATTGGACTAGCAACGTAAAGATTGGGAATTCATATCTTACCATAGCAAATTATAAGACTGAATTTAAAAATCTGGTAATGTCCTGATTTCTGGAAATATTATCACAATAACTATTGTGAAAATTCAATTGGTTCACATGGTCTTTTAGAAGAGGGATCCTGCTACTTCCACCTGCTAGCCTACAGTCCTATCAGTTTTTGGAACAATTATTTCTGAAGAAATCATTGTGTAATAGGTGGCATGGTGGCTCAGTGGTTAGCACTGCTACCTCACAGTACCAGGGACCCAGGTTTGATTCCAGCCTTGGTTATGTGGAGTTTGCATGTTCCCCATGTGTGTGCACGGGTTTCCACCGGGTGCTCTGGTTTCCTCCCACAGTCCAAATTTGTGCAGGTTAGGTGGATTGGCCATGTTAAATTGCCCATAGTGTCCAGGGATGTGCACGCTAGGTGAATTAGCCATGGTAGGTTTGGGTTTATGGGATAAGTTGGAGGGCTAGGTCTGGGTCTGTTCTTTGGAGGATTGGTGCAGACTTGATGAGCTGAATGGCTTCTTTTTGCACTCTAGTGATTCTATGAATACAGGTTGCTGCTTTGATTAGCACCTCTTTTAAATACAAAGCAATATGACCATATATTTAGCCTCTTTCCTGTATTATAGCCCATTCAGTTGTCTTTGTTAATTTCCAGTGGTGAGTTTCATATTGCTCATTTGCCTTATAATTCTCTCCACAACAAAATAAACCAAAGAAATGATACCAGGCGGTATGGTTGCCCTTGACTTATAATTGCAAACAAAATGGCTTTTTAAAATACTCTGGGCCAGTAAATTGAGCCTTCATTCTTTTCACTTTGTCCGATGAAAGTTGGGCTTGGCAATAGCATTCCCCTGATTTCTCTTGCAGGAAAGTAAAAGGGCACAGCATTGCATCCTGGCACCAGCAGCTGAGAATAGCAACCGGGTAGGTCAGATTACTGTATGATAGGCAAAGGCCTTGAGGTAGGAGGAGAATGGAACTATGACTTCACTGATTAGGGTTTATGGATATGACAATGTGATGGTGGGGTGTGTGGTTTACGGAACAATATAAATTAAATTCTGAACATTGTCTTATACATTGGTTTTGTTCAATTAGATTGTTTTTGTTATTTGTTCATTTAAGTTATACTATTGTGCTTCTGGGATTTAAATAAAAACAGATTGAAACTTGTTAACAATTTCAAAATGCTTATATTTAGGCCTCAGAAACTATTAGGAAAGTGTTATAATCATATAAGTGTATTTAAAGTCATCATAACACCCTTATTCAGAAATACCTGAACTTTTTTTAATCTAGCTAATGTCCTGCATTAAAACTTTCCACAAGATGTCCTCCACAGTGTTTGACTTATGAAAATAACTGTTTGTTACATCAAGAAACAAATAAACTTAGGTTTATTTAGTATCTGTAGACCACAGACGTGTAAGCAACTGCTGATCACTAAAACCAGGGATTTTGTGCACAGATAAGTTTGGCACAGATGGAAAGACAGCACAGTTGGCACAAATGGCACAGCTGGCATCAATGGCACTGATGCACAGCTAGTACCTTTGGCACAATTGACAGTGTCAGTGTAGTTGGCACAGCATGAACAGCTGGCACAGAAGTATTACAGCTGGCAGTATTGGCATAGTACAGTCTTTCTCCCCCCATCAATTCTTATACAACTTTGGTAAGGTTTGACTTCATATTGTTAGTACTTTGTGTTAAATAAACATGTCTGTTAAGTTTCATGCTTCCTAATTCTGGTATTTTTAAAGGATCTTTATTGTCCTTTATCTACAATCTCAAAAGCAATAAACGTAAAGTCCCATATTGCCTAGAATGTTAGTGTCCTGCAATTTTCATACATTTTTCCACCTTAGTGGAATTGGATATTTCCAATTTTCACATTTAGTGCAGATTGTGATGATTTATTCATTTTCAACATGTATACATATTCAAATGAAAATGACAGATAGCTTGCTAATTCCATCGATCAATTGCTTCCCAAAAGCCCCCCATTCCTTCATCTAAAAATTTAAATGTGATAACATCATACGAAATTTGTGTTAACCAGCTTGGAGGATGGGAGGCTTCAATTAGCAGCATCAGATGAGAACAGAAAAAAATAGACTCTTGCATGCCAAACTCATGTTGCATAAATAAATGCCATTGAAAATTTTCATTGCCCTGAAATTAACTCTTAATTATTAAAGCAAATAGCAAGTGCAGGTTGGTCTGGTACACAAGCAGTCTAAAAATTGACTCTGGGTCACAAGTTAAAGACTGAGGTCTGTCTGTCCTACTGCAGATTTGCCTCAGTTGGGTGAGTTTTGTTAATTCTCAGCTGGATTCATCCAACAGATTACTATTCTGAGAGGGGAACACAAAAGCTGGTTAGCAGGCCTACTGCTTAAACTGTGCTATTTGTTATCAATCCTGAATGTCATTGACAGCGGCCCTGGTTAAATCTGCAGCCAGGAAATTGAATTTAGTCGCCTTAATTGCATGAATTTCGCCATTATATTTGAGCTACAGAAATACTGCACACGGAGGGTGGTTATTTTAGGAGAGGGCAACTGGTGTCACCAAGACATAATTGTGCCTCCAGAACACCAGTAACAGTAATCTCAGGACAAATTCTAAAGCATAGTCACGTTTAAAACCTGGGCAGTTTTGGAGTTCCAGTTGAAGGAGGCATATGCCGTCGACGAGGGTTGAAAATTTAGAGAAATATTTGAAGAAATGTAATTTTTCGAAAGACAGGGTACATAAACTGCAAGCTTCCAGTATTGGATTGACCGACTTACATCTGTAAATATATGACCCTATATTTTGAGTTACGTTCTCCCTTTTATGTTAAAATATGAAATACTTCATATGAAATATTTCAACATATTCTGAAATCTTACCTCTGCAGGTCTACTTATAGTTTGCACATGATCATACGCAAACTTTTAAAGTTTTGACCTTTTCGTACTGAAAAGTTTTTTTTCAATTACGCTTCCGCTTTCACAGAACCTTGCCTTCAGAGCTTTTGCAACTCTTACTGGCTTTACAGATCGGTCTGGCGATTGCGCATCGGGAAGGTGATCACAACTTGATACTCTTCACCCGATGCCACGAGGACTACAACTCCCGAGATTCATTCCAGCCTCCTCCCCGCCCACCCTGCCACCACCTTCTCGCCAACGTCCGAAGACGCGCAAATTCCCCCTTTTGCTGGCTCACGGTTACTCCGGAGCAAACCCTGGGCTGAAAGCGGAAACCCCGCCTACTTTCCGACCCGATTGGCTGGCGGGATCCTGGACTTTCTGGGGTTTTTTTTTCGGAAGGTGGCCGGACCGATTCCCGGCGCTTTTTGTGGTCGGCGTAAGACTTCAATGAAGACATGATGTCAGCCACACTTCCTCTGTCAAGGTAGGTAATGAGTACGAAATAGCAACAGCTCTCTAACATCTGGGCGCACTTGTCCTCGGCGCCCTGTCTATCTATCTATGTATATGTCGATCTCTCTCATGAAGTCCTGAAAGTCATTGGCTCCTTCCTTCCAACACCCCCCACCTCTCCTTCAGCAATCCCTCCCACCATCTCCTCCTACTTTGTACTCGCTGTTCCCGCAGGCAGAAAAGTGCCCCCCTTCTCTTTTTTTTTAATATATTGTTGCTTCCTGTGAGTATCTCAGAGAATCAGATCCTCCTGGATTTCCTCATTTTAAACAACTCCGGCTTAGAGGAAGGGGAGGGGAGACACAGTGTTGCCAGAAGCGGCGCGGAGTTACAATGTTTCAAAAATGTTACTCTTCACTCCCCCCCCCCCCACCCGCCCCGTCCGCCTTCCCGAGTTGTTGCGCCGCGTTGTTGCTGGTAACCATTCACACGCTGGCGGTGGAACGCCAGCCCAGATCGTTCCATCGGACCAGAGGCGGCGGCGGCGGCGGTGGCGGTGGTGGCTGCAGCCTGTTGTTACTTTATTTTTTTTCTCCCCCACACTATGTGTGTGTGTGTGTGTGTGTGTGTGTGTGTGTGTGTGTTGTGGTTTGACTGCCGTCACCATGCATTGAGGATCTCTGCTGCTGTTCTTGCTGCAGCAACATTTAACAGGTCGCCCTGTAGCGTTTTTTTTTCTCTCTCTCACACACACACACACAGCGGCCGCAGTTTGTGTCATTTCAAGTGAAGTGAATATTTTTGGAAACATAAATAAAATAAAGGGAAGGGCGAGCAGAAAGGGGGCTGAGGGCTGGGTGGTGGGAGAGACACTGGTACTTTATTTGGAGGGGGGATTTTTTTCCTCCTTTTTTGTAGCAGATAATGTATTCAAACGTGAGATTGGTGGCAGCAGCAGCAAACACGACACGAGTAACATATGGCATTAAAAAGCAGCACAGCTGGAGGTAGCATTTCCATTTGAAGTGATGTCAGAGCAGCTGACAGTCTGGCATTGCTGGGTTTTTTTGTGTGATCTTGCTCCGTGTGCCGGTATCATTCCTCTTCAGTCTGCTTTTTTAAACTTGACAGACCGGAGTCACAAAGATTTAGCGCACCCTTGAAGGTGTTCTTTTAGAGGGATTGGTCACGAGAAGTTGGTCTGTTTTTATTCCTGTTGCAGGTATGGGGGGATTCTACCCCTTTTTTTTGCAAACCCTGCTAGGAATTTTGTATGATACTATATGTGCTTTTTAATTCAGAGTTGACAGATCATTGTTCTGAGTGCAAGCTAATTTTTTTCTTAGAGTTGTGGTAATAGTGACTAATTTGGGATTCGCAGATTGCGACGCGTGGAATTGCCCAGACAGCTGTAATCGCACTCCATTCTTTAATCTCTTTATCTGGGCAGCAGCTGCCATATGGCCATAGTCATCTGTATCAGATGTTTATAAGCTTCGTTTTCGTCCTGTCTCTGTCCTTTTAGGCATCTAATTTGATCAACAGTACCTTACTGACTATCATGTAATCTTTATTTTTAGCCATTTTAAGGATTAGAGATGGGGACACAGGGCACTTAATGTGATTGAGTTTGAGTTTTGTGGCAGTTTACGTGCTTTTTTTTTCTCCCTCTTGTACGCGCTAATAGAGCGACAACAAAATAATTTCTTGTTAAAATATGTTTTCTATTGTGTAACTTTTATCTGTAGCATGCAGGATGCTTTAGGGTTTTACTACTCCTGTTTTATCTATTTCTATAAATGTTAACAAACTTTGTCTGCTACAGGTTATGAAGACAGTATGGAGTTTCCAGACCACAGTAGACATTTGCTCCAGTGTCTGAGTGAGCAAAGGCATCAAGGTTTCCTTTGTGATTGCACTGTCTTGGTTGGAGATGCCCAGTTTCGAGCCCATCGTGCTGTGCTTGCTTCGTGCAGCATGTACTTCCACCTCTTTTACAAGGACCAGCTGGACAAAAGGGACATTGTTCATCTGAACAGCGACATTGTTACAGCCCCAGCTTTCGCTCTCCTCCTTGAATTCATGTATGAAGGGAAACTCCAGTTCAAAGATTTGCCTATTGAGGACGTACTTGCAGCTGCGAGTTACCTTCACATGTATGACATAGTGAAAGTCTGCAAAAAAAAGCTGAAAGAAAAATCAACTACAGAAGCGGACAGCACCAAGAAAGAAGAAGATGCTTCAAGCTGTTCTGATAAAGGGGAAATTTCTTCAGTGAGCAGTGCACATATAGTGGGGGAACTGGCAAGCGAGGAAGATGAAACTGAAGAGGAAAAATCAAGTGCTGTGTTGAGCAAAAGGGACATAGTTATTGAATCTGGGAACATGTGGATGAGATTGCCCTCTGACTCAGCAGGCATCACTCAGCCTGGCGTTGAGGTTGAGGCACATGCAGTAACAGCTGGAAAAACAGTGTCCAGTCCCTGCAGCTCAACAGGCCCTTTGTCCCAAAGGTCTGCCAACTCCATTAAGGATTCAGCAGATGTTGACTGTGTGCTGGATTTGTCTGTCAAGTCTGGACTGTCAGGGGGAGAAAATGTCAGCCACCCTTATGTCTCTCCACATGGGGACGGTTCCAGAAATAACTTGGTGCAGGTTAAAGTAGAAAAAGAAGTGTTTTCCGATGAGGAAGGCAGCAGCACTAATGATTTTGATATGGAACAAAGTAGCACGGTGAAAGACAGTGCAGGCACTATGAATAGGCTTTGTTACGATTCACTCCATGTGTCCGCCAGAAGAGAAGCTTCTGTGTCAAGCGAGATGGACCGAGAGGATCGAGCCAGCGATGATGAGATGGTAACCCCAGAGAATGATGGAGCCCAGATGGATGCAGGCATGGACAGCAGCTTGCTCCCTTACTGTTCTAATATACTTGGCTCAGCCGGTCAAATCTTCATGTGTCCCCTCTGCAACAAAGTCTTTCCTAGCCCACACATTCTGCAGATCCATCTGAGCACGCACTTTCGAGAGCAGGATGGCCTCCGCAGCAAGCCTGCCACTGATGTAAATGTTCCCACCTGCTCACTGTGTGGGAAGACTTTCTCGTGCATGTACACCTTAAAACGACACGAGCGAACTCATTCAGGTGAAAAGCCATACACTTGCACTCAATGTGGGAAGAGTTTCCAGTATTCGCACAACCTGAGCCGTCACGCAGTTGTTCACACCCGGGAAAAGCCTCATGCATGCAAGTGGTGTGAGCGCAGGTTCACGCAGTCGGGTGATCTGTACAGACACATTCGAAAATTTCACTGTGAGCTGATAAACACACTCTCTGTTAAAACGGAATCACTTAACTTGCCTGCGATGCGTGACTGGACCATAGAAGAGAGCTCGCAAGAACTCTGGAAATAAAGTCTACCTGTCGAGCAGTCTGAAAAATCAAGTTTCTGGTAATCTCTTCTACAGCCTTTTGGGTACTGAATTCTCTCCATACAATAATAGCCGTAAATACTGTTTGTCAGAACACAATCTACAAAGTGAGATTGTGAATCATATTGCAACATAAGGTAAATAAGAATTAACTATTAAACTCAACACTTATTTAATAAATACTCTAATTTTCTTTTCAAATGCACTCCTGCAGTTGTTGAGTGCACTGCAAAGGATGCTGCTGTATAGTACGTGAAGTTTCATTGTTGAAATTTTTAACAATGAACCACTAATTCATTAAGGTTTTCATTGATATGTGTTAATATTTTAATGTTGCACAATTTCTGGATATTTAAAACATTTTTGTACAATGCTGTAAACAAGATAACTATGAATTTCTTTTCCATATGCCTAGGAATATGCATTTGCAGATGAATGGTTCTTTACTCTGTTTAATTTTAACCAGAAACTTGATGTAATTTAGATTCTAAATGTATGGGATTTTCAGGCAAATTAAAACTGTATGTTTGAAATGTGAATTATATTACTGTACATCCTACTGCATTGAATGGATTTAACAGACCTGATGAATTGCCCTTATGCTCTTAGTCAGGTCTTCTGAAAGTAAATATTGAGGCTATAGAACATGCATGAGTTTTATCAGATGTTTTTGGGGTTTTCCTTTTGCAATTCTATGAACTTGGCAAAGTGTGCAACTTAAGATTTTATTTAATTGGTGAAAGGAATATTATTTTCCTGGGATGCATTTTCTTTACTAAATGCGATAACACCGTGAAAAATGTCACTGGTGTTCCGCAGCAATTTAATTTTTTTTTTAAAAGTGCACTGCTATGCAGTCTCAACGTGTGAAGCATCTTTCCCAATTGCCTGTGTTCTCGTATATATTACAGAAAGTGGTACAGCACAAATTCCAGTTGAAGTTCCCTGCTTTTATGTGAACAGAATTGTTAATGGTTAATGGAAATCATTTGATTACTTGGCCATGAAGTTTTAGGGGAAAGGAATCGTGAACCCACCTTTGAAGAAGGGGTTCATTATATTGTGTAACCAAGCAGCTGAAGTTACTGCTTGGTATGTGTGTGGTTTTAATGAACAACACATATGGCAAGTGTTTTGCACAGTGTTTGTTTTCCTGTCTTGCACTCGCAATAAGGTCTATGGGAGTAGCACGGAAACGTGGCCGTTTTTCCCCCTTTTTTGTGGGTTTTATGTTTTATTTTTTACTTGACCGCCTTAACTACTGTAAACATAGCTTATTTTTGTGCATAAAGGCAATATGATTATTAATGGAAAACTAGATTGTGTATTGCTGAATTGTCTTTTTTTAAAAAATGGGTCAAATGAGTTTTCCTTTTGGCTCTTGACATTGTTTTAAAGCTGTGAAATGGCCTCTAAGATTCTGTAATTATGCTAGTTACTTGAAGAGTTTAAATGTCTGACTAAAGTATGTTGAACTGTAGATTTAAAAAAAAAATGTTTAGATAAGACAATCAGTGTCTTTAAAATGATCAGCTTCCTTGGTTTCCTACGTTAGTTTTCTTTGTCGTATTTTGTGAGTATGACTCTCAATTGCTTTTCCTTACAGATGACCTATACTAGATTTATTTTTGTCATTTTTCCTCAATTTCGCCCCCCTGCATTTTACCTTTTTTACCTGGATTTAGACTGATGTTAGCCTTGACAATCATAGTCTGTTTAATTTTCAGAACTGGGAGGGGAGGGAGGGGAGTAAATTATAATGCTGTTTAGTTTTGTACCTTGATGTGCCGTTGGTGGAATTTTTAAATTGTGTGCTAACTGCAATAAATTATGTAAATTGAAAATGCTGTTAGTTGTCTGTCTTTCTGCTGAATTTATACATACTTGGTACTTTGAAGAATCATTTCTGGGCATCTAAGCTTGTGATGATTTAAACTTCCAAATCCTTTTAACAAATTAAGCTTTCTTCCACTTTATTTGCATAAGTACACCTTCATTGAACTTTCTAATTTGTTAAAACACAACTTGTCAAAATTCAAAACAGAATTCGAAATCACTAAAAAGATTTAACGTTCATTCAGGTTAAATTATACCTCACATCAATCGTACTGCACAAGGTAGTTTTAACTGTAAAATTGCATCCAATGTAATGATCCTTTTTCCTTTTTAAATTTCATTTTTTCTTAAATTTAACTAGGTATGAATAGTATTGCTTCTGTCAGATACTTCTATTCTGACGACGTTGATGGAACATTACGTTATTAAATTTTTTTGTTGTGAGGACAATTTTTTTAAAGCTACAAAGGGAGAGAAGTCCTGAAAGGGTTAATTGGTACATAACAAAAGCTGTTTGTGAATAGTTCTCACTTGCTGAAATACTGTAGGGATTACATTATCCTAGGCTGGAGGGGGATGAACCAGCACCTCTGGTTTATAATTTTGCTAGAAGAATCCCGGATAGACTTCTGATTGTCCAATGCCTCCGGCCCCCAAATCAGAGAGAATGGGGAAGAGTAAACAAAATAATTGAGTATTCACCTACCAGATTGCTAGTGGTGGTTCTTGTTAAGGGATGCATTAGTTTTTTGGTTTAACGAAAGGATGACGATGTGGAGATATTTAAAAAACATCTTTATCATTTTATATTATTCAATATAATCAAGATTGCTTTATATTCAAAGTAAAACTGTTTAAACATCTGTTCTATTCATGCATTTTGCCCTGAAACCATGGCACATTTTCTTTCCCTCCTCTGTAAATTTAGGTCAGTAATTTGTATCTGTTCTTTGTTGGGAAAAGAGGAAAAAAAAACAGGCCAAAAGGGCAGCTGGTTAAACATTTGGCTGTGCCGAAGGGTAGTGGGCACAACATGTTGGAGCTCTGCACTTGACCAGTTTGAATTTGTATCTGCAGTTCCAACACAAACTTTTCCTTTTTCCCTTAGTGTTTTTTTTAAATGAAAAATAGAGTTCACATGAAGCATGTCACTGGATTTTTTTTTTTTTTTTTGCTGCTTTCAACAACAAATTTTCTGCTTTCCTTGCCTAGTACATTAACAGACATGCAACAAAAATAAGCTACTGGAAAACATTATTCTTCAAGGAGAATCGAGTTGTAATTTGGAGCAATGTCGCATCCTGTTGCACTACAGTATTGAGAAGTAAACCGAAACCTTTTGAAATAAAATATGTGACATCACTAAACGATTACAAAGTCAATCCCATATACTTTTAAATGCTGTAAGTGTTCTAAATATTAGAAATCATTTTTTATGACAAAGCTTTGGAAGTTCTAGTCTCTTACTATTACCATATTTTAATTCATTATAAGATTCAGTAGCCACTGCATTGTAATTTGGCACTTGAAAAGAACTTTTCAATTTTGTTACGGTTGTATTGAAATCTGATATTTTCTGAATATACTCTTGTTTGCCAAAGAAATGATAACAGGAATTATTAAAAAGAAAATTGTATTTTGTTTTCATTTTCCTCCCCCGATTTTTCTACTAGGCACTTGTGATTTGGAACAATTAAAACTGTGCGGGGCATTATATAAATGCTGTACATTACTCTGAATTGCAGCTCCCCACAAGAATCCCAAATCATAAACATTAAACATTATGAATGGTGTGTTATTATGCAAAGACTTTTTGTATTTTCTTCATAGACAATAATACTAAATAAATTTGTATATATTACTAATTTGGGAAATGAAAGCAAAAGTATCCAGGCCAGTGCATCTTTGAGTTGCTGGGAAGTGTATTTAAAGTTTTGGGGTGGATCTCCTTTCCGGTATTGCAATCATTGTAGAACTGTCCCCAAGTACCTATCCTGGGAGGGACAGACACAAACTAAGGTCACTGCAAAAAATTTGTACAGTTTGTCATTATGAATATCTTTGAGCAAAGTTTCTTTGGGCGAGAGAATTTCTTACTCATCAATTTGAGTGGGAGTAATAATTCACAGAGTTCTGTATTAGAGATACACTCTTCCTTATAAGGTTTATTTATAGATAACTCTCCATTCAGTAAATGTGAGCAGTTTGGTATTTCACAAGTTGGATTTCACTGAAACCTTAGCAGTGATGCAGATTGGTCAAGAAATGAAAAATAAGGCATCGTAATAAGGAGAGGATGAAAGGATCAAATCTCTGCAGATGGGCTATTGGAAAGAAAAATTCAAATTAAATACGACAATTTTTTTTTCCAGACGGCTGCTAATTGAGCTAAAGAAACAGCTAAAATGTGAATTTGGTTTGGGGCATTCTTAGAGGTGGATGTTTCTCCCCTCTTCAGGATAGTGGAGTTGGTTTAATGTGGCAGGATATACAGTTCATGTAGAAGTAGCGGAAAACTTTCCGTGCTATTATGGAAGATAAATAGAAGAATTTACATTTCATGTCAGGATTTCTCTGAAAAGAAAGTGAAGACATAATGGCTCCAGTCTGCCAACGTTACAGCTACAGTAATTTTTAACCACTTCACAGTGTTAGAATGGTTGAGTTAAAATATTCTTCTATGCAAGACTGCTTTCCATCACCCTTCAACAATGGCTCAAAGGGTCACCTAACTGCAGAAATCCATAGCATTTATCTTTTGATTCTGTGATAAATATTAATATATAATCATTTTTCTTATAACTGCAGTATTTTCATCTTATCTTTTTAGCAGCTAATGTTTTATGTATTCTTGTTGTGAGTTCCTTTCCAATAAAGAAAAAAACATCTTGTCAAACATTAATTCATCATTCAGTACAATTGAGTGAATTATCTTTGTTTGCTAACCAATTTGAAGACACTTGCCCTAAAATTAAAATTGTTTTTTTTAAATGTCAGCTTTGCTATGAATAACGCAATTCTTTAATTTTCTACACTATTGAGTTGCATTTCATTCATTAAGGAATAATTGTAAAACAGCCAATATTTTGTAAAGTTTATTTTTGAGAAAAATGATGTGGACTTTATTTTAGAAATAAAGTGCTTCCCTAATTCCTGAACAGTGATCAGTGGCACTAAGAAACCTATTCCAACTAGTGGGGGAAAAAAAATCACTTGCACTTACATAGATTGTTTGATGAACTCAGGATGTTCTGAAATACTTTAGAGCCAATACATTGCTTTCAAATTGTGGTTAATGTTGTAATGAAAGGAACGTCCAGGTACAGAGGAACATTTGTTTAATTAAAATTTATTATTACTTGTATTTATGAAAATGTGGTAAAGTGTATAAATTGCCATAATCCCGTGCCATTTTAATTACATAAATTGTAAAAAGAAATAATTCACACAAAGTTAAGACAATTTTAATTTTTGTTCCATCCATGGCTTCTTGATTTCTGAAGTGGTTATGGGATGCCTCCTCACTCCGCAGCCATCAAAGCTGTCCTTGATGCTGCAACAGCAAGGAGGAAATGCTCTGAAGCAGCTTCCACTGCCATGGACTGGACCCAGAACACCGCTTCTGCCAAAGCTGCCTCACCACCATGGATACTCCAACCACTGCCATAGCCAGGTGATTGTCCCAACTTCCAAGGACTGGGGCCCATCTCAACTGCTGAGGACTAAGGGACCATTCACTCCACCACCAAAATACCAGAGGAAAAGAACCAACCCCAATTCATCGACACTGGAGCCGTTGCTCAAGCGTCAATCACCATGGCTATGAGGAACGGACCAGATCCACCATTCAACAGCTTTCCCCCAACCTCTCTCCACCACATCCCCAACCAGTTCTTGATTGACATCACCTCTGTTCAATAGAAATGCACACTTGCAGAAATATTAGTCCATTTAACACCCCCACCAGGTCTGCTGAACATGGCTGATGTGTAACCTATCTCCAGCTATCATCTTTGCCCAATGTCCTCCAGTACCCTTTCTAACAACAATTTATCAATCTAAATTTTAAACACAATAATTGATCTAGAATTGAATTCTAAAGTTCTTTTATCCTTTGAATGTAGAAATGTTTATCTTTGTGTATAAATATACACCCATTGTAGCCAGACCAGGCTTAAAAATGGCAGCTTCTTTGCTTTAAGCAGTTGGTTTAGCATTGACACTAAATCCTGTACAGGAATGGGGAACAATTTGTCAGAGTTATTCAACTGTAAACCATAAACATTCTGACCAAACTGCCTGTCACTCAATCTAATTTGATTCCATTTCTTGAACATTTTTTGATTTTCCCAGGCAGTCTGCCAGATGGATTGCTGATATTTTTTGGTTTGTTGTGCTTGACTTTCACCTTCTGCCAGCCAATCACTGTATGGTTGCCTGGGTTGATGTCCGAAGCCCAGATCAGCCTGCTTATCCAGCTGGAAGAGGATGTGTGGGCAATGAAGTACGTTATAAATAGAGACTGGGGGGGAAAGAAGTCCAAATTGTGTTCCTAAAATGTAAAGCTGTAAAAGGAGCTCTTACAAAGAACTAGCATAGATATGATGGGCCAAATGGCTTCCCTCTGTGCTGTAGCCATTTTATGATTCTGAGAAAAAAAAGTGACTCTTTATAGATATCTGTTTATGATGTGATCAACCATGTTGGAATATTTCCAAAAGGAGATTTTATTACAAATTCACTCACCAGATGTTAACTACGGAAGCTTTGTGATAATGCGCAACAGTGAAGAAATCATACAATTGGCACAATGCTAAAGTGTGATTTCGACCTGGTAAAATCAAGACTTAAAACTAAACTACACGAAAGATCAATGATATTGCACTGTATATGTGTAAAGAAAGTAATTGATACATTATGTTTTTAAACTGATCTGCTTAAGTAAGATCACTTGCCTATGATTCTGTAGGTTCCTGGATTATAGAGTTATACTTCAGTGTGAATCAGC